GAAAATTTATGTTAAAAAGAAGAATACGACGTGTGAGAAAAATTTTCATCATTATCTCTTGATTTTTCTTAAACTTGATGAGAATAAGAATATAAATGATATCGATGATGACATCATTCATTGTTTCTGTTATCTTAGTGTGTTTGTCTTCCTATGCTATTTTTTGATATCTGAAAACAAATAAGATGACATAGTGAAGATATTTTGTTCACGGTCAAAAAGAAAAGGTATTAGAAGAAATTGACGAAAAATAAGCTATCAATAGTATGGAATGAAAATTTCTGTTTTCTATCTAAAATTTATATATTGATAAAACCAATACAAAGTACAACAAAGTATTATCAACTTAATATCTTTCAAATCATAATCAATGATCATGGTTCTTTTATTTTTGTTAATGTATTATTTAGATTGAATGCTTTTTTTTTGCAGTGATAAATGACACTTAAGAACTTTAATATCAAATAGAGTAATGATATTACTGTTGCCAGAGTATGAATATGTACATTGTCGAGTATCAATGATTTTCTAATTTAATTTTAAGAAAACACACTTCCTAATTCAATTTATTCACATTAAGAAACTACTAAGAAACTATGTCGTGTTTCATCGAATGTTTCGTTTAAACACAATAAATATCAATATTTACCGTCTTTGTATATAAGCTTTGCTTGTTATATTCGTACAAATGAATGAGACTGTATTCGTTTGTATTAATTTCACAAATTTACTGTTATCCACAAATAGCGACGTTTTGTTCTGTTTTATGTACAAATCTTTGACAAAAAAATAGCCTCGATATTTTCCACTCTCGTCTTTTTCCGATACAATGATAACAAACGGTCTTATTTACAGTTTCCTATAGCGGTCTGTTTATTAAAGAACCAGATGTCAACAACCGTTCATGGATGAATTATCATTGGTACTAGTAAGAATAAATCATTGCTAAAATCAGTATATTGTTTCGTGTCAATAGATTGACATAATAAAAGCGAAATGCACAGATAATTTACAATATCGAGATTTTAATTTGACTGAACGAAACATCGTACCGATAACCGAATAAAATTTATGTTAAATAGAGATTTTAACGTCTCAAATGATATTTCAACGAGCATAGGACGAAGTACCATTCTAGAGATCATCACGATCACAAAATGTGAATTTTGAATGTGAAATTCGAGAAAGGAAATAATAAGTTAGTAGATGCCATTCGAGTTTCACTCGATCGCAAGATACAGTGCAAAGCTACGAATGTCGATTTTTAAAAAACTCTGTATCTAATAGAAAACGAATAATCATTTTTATAACTGATCGTTAATTGTTTTATACCATAACATATCTAGATTTTACTGAAATAAGGCTTTTGCTTTATCTCTCTACACCGAAAAGTTTACGATTTCATCGATCAGTTGATTCAAATCGTGAAAAAAATTGACCAGTAGCCATTACAAAACTAATTACTCAGAGAACTCTACTAACACGTAACACTATGTTTCTAACGAAGACTAATATTTGTCGTTTGATTCTCTTGTTCTCTGATTCATTATCTATCATCAACTGTATCTACTACTGTTTTAGTTATAAGCAAAGATAGTATTGGTCTCCTCTTGTTGCTGTCATCGCTTTACTTATATGGAACCTTGAAAAAATACGTAGCCCACAAAAAGTTATTCTGTTGGGACACTATTTGTAAGCAACAGAACAGTCTTCGGAATATTGGAAAAAAATAATATCAGTTCGATCTCGACACTTTCACTTCGAGCTAAAACAAGTATGTACTGAGTTACTTTTCTAGAAATGATCATGACACAAAAAGAAAACTTTCGATGTGTGCGTCAAGAAAAGAAGTGAATCGCTGTGAGTTCTAAAACGAAGCTCATGTTTTAATCGATGTGCTGATCGAATTTAAAACTGATGAAGGACTATACAAAGTTACAGCATTATATAGAAAATCTAAGACCTACAGTGAAGGGTATCAATTAAAATTGAATATTAAATTTCTCGTGGCATTACAAACAATATAAAAATATTATAGAACTCTTCTATTACTAAACATATTTTTGTGAGTATTGAACTTTGTCAAGAATATCGACGATATCTATTCTTGCTCAAACTCGACAATCGTAATTTTATGTAGTTAGTTATCTCCCGTAAATTTATCTTTTTTATACATAAAAAGCAAGTCGAAACAACAAAAACAAAATGGCTCACAAAGTAATAAAAATCATAGGATACATGATTTTTAGCATACTTTGAAAGGCTAAGATACAACGAGTCTCAAAATTGATCAACAAATTGTTTTTATGATTCTCTACTCATGTATTTCAACTTAACGGCTAACTGCTTTTTTTGTAATTCATATGTGAAGAAGGATCTATAGGGGGAGTTATTTTCAGAGCATACTAGTAAAATATTGAAAATAGATGATACTATACATGTGATTTTACTAGTCATTTGTTTGTAAAAGTGAAGTTTGTAAATTTTCATGTACATGCTAGTCATCTATAAGTTTTTTTTATATTCATTTATCTGCATATGTCAGACGGTACCTTGTCTGTTTCCAAATGGATTGCGTCGTTATTTATTGAAAAGTTTAGAAATGAAAGTTGGCACATACCATCAGGAAAAAACTGTGATGAACTTATATAAAAAAAAATCTTCAAATCTAGTGTTTCAATATCTCATTCGAAAGAGCTTATATGATATCACCCATACTCATGAAAACAGATACATTTTCGATTTCAAATATAACATGTTTGTAGAGAAAATAAATCTCTACAAGTCTACACTCTTTGAAAACAGTTTAGATATCATCTTACATATTCAAACGAGTGACTACAAGTGGACTAATGCATGATAAGTATATACATAAAAACCTACTAGTTCCAATTTTACAAACAAATAACTACATAGTAGAATAAGATTTCGCATACAGTTTATGCTGCTCTTTCTGATGTTATCTTGAAATTTCAAAATCAGTTTTGAGTCAGAATAAAATATTGCATGATATTAACTTATTCCTAGTATGTTACCAATATGCTCTAAAAACCACATTTGCTGATCCTTCTTCAAAAACACGAAATACAAAAACAGTAGTTATCTGCGACAAGACAAATTAACCCTTACTAAATAGACTCTTATAAAGAAATGTTTAAGTTCAAACAAGTACGTAGAGAGTCATAAAAACAGCTTGTTGATCAATTGTGTGACGCTGAAAAATGAGAGGCTGTAATTAATCTTTCAATGAAAACTGAAGAGACCAAAATTCTTGAAAACTTATACACACATTTTAGGAAATATATGGACTACAAGACAATACGAACAGAGGTAATCTGGATATAAAGGAAACAAAAAAGAAAAGTTCTTGCTGCTTGTTGATCAATTTTGGTACCTATTGTGTATATGCGATGTTTATATATTCTTTTTTTCTCATGTATATCAGAAAGCTTTTTCTCCGACGACAGTCGTTAGTATCAATAGTGTTGTCTTTTGGTTTTCATCGAGAAGAATACATGTAGAAAAATGCCAAAAGTAATAATTAAGCAATAAAAAGTATTATTGTAATATAAATATTGTTCTTCTTTCACAACAATTATCACGAAAATCAATGAAATAGATTTTTTTGTCTCAAGCATTTTCTCAATGCAAAAACTATTCTATTTTCTCTTTAACACTATTGCTGAAGAACAAGAAGCAAATATAAAATATATGCATAATTATTTTAAAAACTTTAGTTATAAGACGACAGTGAGAAAATCCATATCAATAAAATTAGCACAGATATATCTGCTCTATAAAATACAGCTAATATACCAGCTGGTAATTAGAGCTGATGCATGAAATAGTTGACATGCAAAAATATAAGTGCGATTATTACCTAAATATCATAGAAGAGAAAAGACGACATAGAAGCTTTTATATTGCTCAGTATTACTATTGAAAGAAAAGAAAAGTTGATATAAATAAATATTATCGTACAAGTATAGGCAAGACTCTTACTTATTTTTGTCGCAAATAGGTTGGTAATATTACTGTTCAAATGACGACAAACGGATATTAGTTCAAACATAATAATATAAATGATGATGAACTTTTAAAATTTATCGTGTGTCAAGAATTACAAGAGAATAGATTATAGCAAGTAGAACATTCAAGAAATTTTTGATTACGTATGTTTTGAACAACATTGTATATGAAGAAAATTTTATTCATATTTATTATTCAAACTTCCATTATCACAGTGGAATAAATATGAAATAAAAATTTTATTCAAATAATAACTCTAAAAATACATAACAATCTTTCGAACAACAATTCAGCGAAAGATTGTGATGACGGACAAAGAAAGTGAACCAACATCATCTCCTTCTTACAAAAATAGTGGCATCACTACTTCATCTTGTTCTACTGGTGAATTAAATCTTTTTTCACATAACTCATTGTGGTCGTCAAAACTCACTAGCACTGAGCAGTTACTAGCTACTCGACTTTTTCTCATTCTTCTTTTTATTTCTTTCTTGGCAGTTATCATATGGGCAAGTCTCATCATACAAACACACGATGTTACTCTCAAAGAATTTTCTCTTGCCGACTTTGAACGGTTAGAAGCTCTTCATTCTGGTACTATCAATGCTCCGTGTACTCATGTATCCATTCCTCACGAAAAATTCATCCAGTTAACACCTCAATTTCATCAAATTTGTTCTAGTTCATTTATTGGTTCGGAATGGATTTTGTCTCTCTTTCTCTCTAATGCTACTTCTCATAATATTCTTGATTTTCGTACCTTCGGTTTTGCTCAATTTCGTGCTCTCGCTTTACTCTGTCAAACCGCACGACAAGCAGTGAATGATGCATATCATACGTATACCACCACTCGTTTGACCACCAGTCATGCACTTACACGTACTCAATTTAATCAAATGATCGTCGCTCTTATTAATAATTTCAAGCGTAATGTTGTAGTTAATGAAAAGCGCACGTCAAGAGTAGTCTCGATGAATATAGCATATAATAGATTGATTTCGGCATTACGTACTAACTATTATATTCAGTCAGTACCTGGCTCACGCCGTTACAAAACATACAATGGAGTCTATACGAAAGAAAATGAAACTGTTGCGTTTGTATGTGATTGTCGATTAGAAGGTCATCAATGTTTTTATCAAGCTGGTAGTTTTTATAATTGGACAATTCCACAATTAGGCAAACCAGCAAAATCGATTCCACCACCTCGCTTTCAGGTAAAAAAAGAACAGATATCTAATTATTTTCATTAGTATCACCATGTATTTCAAGAGATGGTGAGATGAGTAAAAATAATAAGACTTTTGACAGTTCTTGATTGTCTGTTGAAGTAAACATAAAAACAATTTCAAATTTCAAATGGTTTATGGATGTCTTTTTTTGTATCCATGAATGTACACATTGTCAAAATTTCCAAAGACTTATTTCTTTGACATCCAAAACAAAGAAGAGGCTTCGTAAATATTAAACTTTGGTGTTGCATTTTTCTATAGAGTAGGAAAAAAAAGTGTCACTTAAAAAGCATTGAAAACATTACTTGATTTATTTTATATTATATTTTCCAATTCATCTTAGATTCCAGGCCTGATGGCTGGTTGTCTGCCGCTTGAATCGATTCGTCAATCAACATTAGAATGTTTGTATAATCAATCATGTGTCAACTCATTGATTCTTCAACCTAAATTATCTTCACCGAAAGCTCTGAATATTTCTTTATCACGATTTCCGTTGACTAAAACAATCGGCTCAATGTTTGACGAATCACTTTTTGTCGAGTCTTGGTTTAATACATCCAATTTCAGTCAATATTTTGCTACTTGTGCACCTCAATCATTATCATATAGTTACAAAGGTCGATTTCATTTAGTTTTCATGTTTACTATATGTATTGGTGCATTTGGTGGATTATTTATCATTTGGGAAGTTATTACACCCGTTTTGGTGAAATTTTGGAGTCGAATAAAGTCCAAAAGACAACAAAATCAATCGGCTACTCAATCAAAACAAACGGATATTGAACGAAATACTCAAAACACAGGTAAAATAAATTAATGCAAAAAAAATCATAAACAGAAAAATTATGAAGAAAAGATAATATCACATTGACTTCTAGATAGTGTTGCTCAACATCATCAAACAGAGCATAAATTTAACTTATTTTCATCTGATAATGAAAACAATAATAAGGAAGATCGTGTAGAAACTATTCATACACGTCTCTATATATCATTTTTATTGATTGGTCTTCTTATTGTTGCTTTATATTTTTCTTTCGTGAAACCTACACAAACATTTACAATTTTATTTCCAACTCTGGAGGAATTTAAACAATTGAAATCGCTTCATTCATCCAATCTGATTTGTCCTTGTTCTCGTTTATCAACTCCCTATGCTCAGATTACATCTGTGTCTCCTCAGTATCATCAAGTATGTTCTAGTGAATTTCTTCAAAAGCTTTGGCTATCATACTTTGGACGTGTAGAATTGAATATAGAAGACGTTAATTTTATCACACCTGATTTTCGGGTTAGTGGTCAATCATTTTTCGATTTTATTCGTAGTTTTTGTCAAACAGCACAAGACACTGTTGAAAATGCACTTCATGTATTTAACTCAACTCGATTAATTACTGTTGATGCTCTTTCACCTGAACAATTTAACAATCAAACAACGCAACTATTAAAAAGATTTCAACAACAGACTATTGCTTCATTTCTTAACCTTATTAGTCTAGTTCGTTCATCTATACAAAATAATCAATTAATCAGTGAAATGTGGACTAATGTTGGGCCAAGATCAGTGTTTAATAGTGAAACATCAAATTGGTCGATTCGTTTTGCACCTCGAAATTTTTTTACTAATTCTTGCTCATGTGGTTTAAGTAATCAATGTAGTCGCCCTGTAGGATTTTATTTACAATCGGATAAAATACATTCTTCACCAAACACTACTGTGCCTGGTCTAGTTATTGGTTGTTTTCCAATTGATTCCGTTCTTTTATCTACTCTTGAATGTTTTTATGACCAGCAATGTATAAAACTCATCGTTGATATGTATGATTTTGATGTAGTCGATATGGTTCAACCATTGGACCATCGTGTTGCTAATATTCAACCACTTCATAAAGAGCAGAATAGTCGTTTTCCTCCCAATACTACGCTGGAATCAATTTTTTCGCAATTATTTATAGAAGATTGGATGCAAAATAGTAATTTCACAGCCTACTATACACATTGTGCACCCAAACAATGTTCTCATAGTATACGACAGCGTCATAATATACTTTTTATTTTGGTAATATTGCTTGGTTTCTATGGTGGACTAAGTGCAATTTTAGAAGTTATTTTACCATACATTGTTAAGAAAGCAAGACGGCGGACAGTAAAACGACAAGACGAGCAAGAAAATTCAACTTCTAATAATCTAGCATCAAGTAAGAAAGTTTCTGCTTAAATTATATTAGAAACATAAATTTTGAGAAAAAACTTGTAAAATTTGCAATTTTTATTTTTCTTGAAAAACTAAATTATTACAAATATATTTTTTCATATTCCATCGGTGGGAAAATATCTGCTTGTACTTTGTGAAGCAAATTACAGTATCAAGTTAAGCAGAAAAAAGCTCAATTGTTTTCACTGGAAATATGATTCTTTTGGCTCGATTGAGAAAGAATTTACGAGATACTTCTAGTTATACTATACCGTTGCAAATGAAAATTCGGCAACGTTGAAAAATATTAAATTTCAATGTGCAATATTTTTTCAAGTCCTCTCATTTATTATTTATTAATAGTGTTAAACATTATGTTATATTTAGTTAGTGATTATAAGTATTGTTAATTTTAGACACTTCCTCTAATCAAGCGGACAAACAAGTGAACTGTCCAAGATTTTTACCACGTCATATTTGTTTTCTCATTTTTGGTGTGAGTGTCTTAGCCAGTCTTCTATACCTCGTTTTGTTCAATCATGAAAATACAACTAAGGTAATTAAGTCTCCATCATTTGATACTTTCAACAATCTTCATAGTCGAAAAAGTTCTACTTTGTCATGTCCATGTTTAAATACAGCTGTGTCGCACTCGAAAATTTTGTCTATTATACCAAAGTATCATCCAATATGTTCCAGTAAATTAGTATCATCTTCACACTGGACACAACTATTTGAGAAAGGTGATAATATCTCATTAGTACTTAGTGCTAAATATCAGCTTTTAGCATCGTTATGTCACCATACTCAGCGCACCATTGAGAACGCTCAGTATGTTTTTGATACTCATGAACTGATTACTATGGAAACAATGACTCATTCTGCATTTGACAGTCAAATTGAAACACTTATTTCAACATTTATTGACGAAGTTTTAGCAGACTATCATCGAACACTTTCATTTATTATTGGTTCATTTGAAGTCAATCAACTATTAAACATGTTCACTGGTAATTGGCAATTAGATTTTACAAATGAAAAAGAAAATTATATTATGGCCACAAGACCACGTGTTTTCTCATCATCAAATTGTACTTGTGCCACAACATCTGATTGTATTGAACAGATTAGAGAAGATGTAATTAGTGGTTGTTTTCCATTTGATGAATTTCGTTTCACCAAATACGAGGATACATCACTAGATGAATTAAATAAAAAATTATTTGTAGAATCATGGCATAACCACAGTAACTATAGCGCGTATTTTGAAACGTGTCAACCGACAGAATGTCGTCATGTGCAATTCGATCGACATGATCTATTATATACATTGGTAACTGCGTTTGGTTTATATGGAGGTAAGACAATGAACTGATATGTTAGTTGAAGCTAGATCATTCTGTTTCAATTTTTCATAGGTTTAACGCATGGACTTCATTTAATCGTCGGTCAATTTTTATGTAGATATTGTAGACGAAAAAAATAACAGAGAAGAGAGATGAATGCACAAGAACCCAACGACGTCAATGAATTCTTAAAGGCTTGAATGTGCTGCGTTACCCACAACAAAAATATTATTTTTCCTTCTGATACCTCATCAAAAATTCTTTCCTTCTCTATTATTCATTTAAAAAAATATTGTTTTAGTTTTAGTTGACTTTTTTTTTTAAATAGATGGGTAATATAAAATATTCAAGTCAATTTACATTGGAAGACATTGCTTTACCATAAGACAATAGACAAAAATAAGAATCAAAGGTTACAGATTGAAAGTAAATGATATACCTTGCTAAATTTGATATGATAAACAAAAAACTATTTTCGCAGTTTCGCTAAAACAAGATGGAGAAGTGTAGTTAACATCGATTATAAACAGTAGGCATTTTTACTAAGAATGGATGTTCTGCGTAACACCTTGGTTTCATATATAGTCTCATTTATTCATGCAGCCGCCACAAAGATTACTACTCTTAATAATATTAGTAGGAGAGCATCTCAAAATCTAGATTTCTCTCCATAGTAATTCTAATTTTTCTATTAGTCAGCACACTTTATTCCATATAAGTTTTCATCGGCTTTATAATACTTTTACGCTTGCATATGAGTCGTTTCACGTAAGCCACGAGCAGAGCTCATCAATCGAAATTGTCAGGTTTTGCTCAAGTAAAGACATTATTATAAAAGGAAGAGTTGTTTGGATTTTAACGCAAATCTGTTGGAAAAATATTGAAGTCTGAATATTTTATAGTTATTTTACAAGTAACCTTAAAAATCAGCATTTCGATCAAGGGAAGTTTTGACGGAAGCATATCTCAAGAATGGCTTGATCGATTGAGCTGAAATTTTTTATAGGCATATATATCTGTATAATTTATTGATCAACATGGAATTTTCAACTCAAAATATTGAATACTTTATTTTTTTATGAAAGATCTGATATGGTCAACAATTCACATTTTAGGCACGTTCAGTACTTCATAATTCGTAATACAGATAAGATAGAGGTCTGAAATTTTTACTAGAGCTAGAGTTCATAGAGTGCGTGCATGTGAGTGCGAATGTTGGTGTCGGTATAAGGCAATGCAAAAATCGACAACCACTACGCCCTACTCTTTATATATATAGGAATGACCAGTCTGGCCGGATATCCCAATCCTTTTCTTTTAAGCTGTAGGTTCCATAGTATATCAGACTTTTATGAATTTGTTTACCAATTATAGTACTTGTATAGTGCTTACGATTTGTTGTTGTTTCATTTATATATCGTATCTGCAACCAATAAAACCAAGAGTCTTTCTAAAACTTTCAAGTAAAATGAACTTTTATCGAACTTATTCACTTTGGTTTTTACCTGCTATTGAAAACAACTACATACTATTGTCAAACCTTTATTGGAAATTAACAATCAAGAATTATGGATAAAATATCATTGAAGCATAACTACGAATAGATCGTCTTCCTAAGTTAAGATAGCATAAAGCAGAAACAACATGTGCAGTTTTAATAATCTTATGGAAGTCATCATAACATCTCCTGTAAATGAATTAGTTCATTTTCGCCGAATTCCAACTTCTCCGAAAGAATTTTTCGCTCATTTAATGACCCTGAACCACACCCACACCTACACATACACACGCACTCACACCTATACCTACACCCACATATGCACTCATTCCAATGTCTCCGTCAGCGAAAAATTCTTTCGGTGAAGTTGGAATTCGGCGAAAATCGTCGTCGGCGAAAAAAAAATTCGGCGAAAATTGAAATTACCGATTGAATGAAACCGAGCTATGTTGCTATATAACGTTCAGAGTGATAATACTTCAAATACTATAAAGTAGTTGAAAGTAAATCTATGGAAGATAAAAATGCCATGTTTATACCTTGTTTATGTTATTGTTTTCTACTCGTACAATATTTTATGAATCATTAAATCACTCCTACTATATAATTGTTGTGCTTGTTCGATGTCATGTCCCGTATGGTCTGTAAAAGAATTATTATTACGACTTCGCTTTAACCATAGATGTTGATCTACAATAGAAAAAGCAATAAAAATATCATAAGGTTTTGTTATTGTGTACTTGAAATAAACTGCATCATGAAACGGAAGTTTACAGGCAGACTAAATAGGTGAATTTCGCTTACCAACATATAGCATTTGAAGTTCTTGGAGATTAAAAATCTGTTGCTCTTTCTTTAGATGTTGTCTTTTTTGTTCAAGTTTCGGTGAACAATAATTACATCTATCACGATGTCGATAATAATTAGTGAATAAACCGAATTCTTTAGAAGTAATACATCTCCAAATTAACGTTGATTGACAACGATTGAAATGTTTACGACAATCACTAATACTGACTTGATATTGAGGATATTCCATTTAATTTGTGACGAAGAGACAATTATAAGAGGGTGTAGCTGATTGTATTTCTTTATTTAAAGCATTTCAAAGTCAAAGAAAGCAACAAATGAAAAAAAGAAAATCGAATATAGATTACGCAATCGCAACACAATCATATGTGGAAATGAATCATGTATTCAACGTGTTCAGCATAGATATGAATGTAAGAACGAGAGAATATTTGACGAAGAAAAGATATTTTTCTCTTGGTCAGTCCCTTTGATAATGATTTACATATTTTGAAGATACCTACGTACAACTGTCATGTTTTAGCTTTTAGTTGTTGTTGACGCACCGAGTTTAGGACTGTTGTCGATTATTAAGCCTTTCTAGTACAAATTCGTATAGTCGATAGGTAGTAATACATCTACAAAGCCTGTCACTATTATGGAGTTATCACCCTATTGAACTTGTATATTATTAAGTTAGGACCATAGGAATAGAACCCTGAACAGCTGGGAAAATGTTATAATAAACAGATAGGTTTGATAAAAGTTCATATTACTAAAAGGTTTTAGAAAGGCTCTTGATTATATTGATTTCCGACAAGATTCATAGTCCAAACAAGACACGTTAGCACTGTACGAGTACAATAATTGGTAAAAAAATTATAACATTCTAATGTACTATAAAATCTACATGTTAGAAAAAGAGTTAGAATAATCGGCCAAACTGATAATCCCTCATATATTCAGTTGAAATGACTGATGATTTATTGAATGAAGATAAATCTAAAGAAAAAAGAAAATCAGTTTATATAAAATGAACTTTTTTAATCTCTAGATCTATTTCAATTGAACAATTCTATGGTAAGATCAACTGGATATATAAAATATTTTTTTATTTTTAGATTTATCTTGATCTAACATTTTAATATTAAACTCATCATGACTATGAAGATTTTTTTCCTTACATCTATTACATATACTCAGCTGAGCGAAGCCATGATTTGTGGCAACAAGATACGTCTAAAGAAAAAAGCAAATCATGTATACGTACAAGAATTTTTTTATTGTGTACATTTATCTCAAATGGACGATTTGATGATAAGCTCAATTGGCTATATAAAATGTTTTTTTTATCTATAAATTTATCGTAATTCAATAACGTAATGGCAAGT